CTGATCAGTGTCGGAATGGATGCCCACTGATCAGTGTCGGAATGGATGCCCACTGATCAGTGTCGGAATGGATGCCCATTGATCAGTGTCGGAATGGATGCCCACTTTTGCTGAACAAAAACTGCAAATTTTACAGTGTCCTTTTATTGCCTCCACAATGAGGAAAAGTCATGCAATGATCATGCTGCCGAATCAACATTTTGATACGCCACACCTATGCAGTAGATATATTAGCAGAAAATTAAAAACAAAATGTGACTTTTTATTTAGCATTTTTGAAGGTCATGAGCTTTTTGTTTGCTTACAAAAAAACTTGGGTGCAAAATGGGAGCAAACCAAAAACTGTGGGTCTATAACGATAGTGTGGCTTCCTGCACTGTGTATCTCCTGCTCTCTGCTCTTTCCTTGCAGTCCTTTTTCAGTGGACCCCCCCCTCGGCACCCTGGGGGTGGGACAAAACATGCAGGTGACAGTGGACTTCTTACCCAACAGAGCTGGGGACTGCACAGAGGACCTACGGCTGCATTACCACTCAGGTAACACACAGAACGTGCACAGGTCCACATGAGGGGCAAAGCCTTACTCCAGCATCAATGCACATTCCCTTTGTGCAGAAATATTCTCATTTCCTTGAAATATTATTATTGTTCTGCTCATGTCACGAGGCAACATGCAACCTCATCCTGAATCACGATTCATTGCAGCATAACATCACACTCCATCTGTATTTTTCTATAGCCCTGGAAAACTGGACCTGGAAAACTGGAACACAAATGATTCTGGACCACGTGATTTCCCCCCCCCCCCCGAACCTCCCCCAATTCGCCATATTTTATCATTGAGGGTGCCCCTTCCCGGTCGCCGTGCTTTCCCCAGACACAGTGCACCTGGGCTTTGTGTTGCTGATGGAATTTGGCCCTCGGTGCAAAATAATTTGGAAACCCTGTTCTATAGTCTGGGTGAAACTGCGAATTTGTGTCCAGGAGCTAGTATATGAATAACCCAATGAATGAACGTCCTGCAATATAAATGACAGTCTCTAAATGTTAGCAGCAGTAGCATTAAAATTTGTTGCAATGTCACAGAAACACCGAGAGAATTTGATTGCGTTAAGCTTGCCAAAAAAATAAAAACACAGCCCCCTCCAGACAGGCTGACCTTTCCTCCTGGTGATTCATAAGCGGTTACAGTCCCGGCCATAGAAAAGCATCCAAGTGGAGAAACTGCGCCATCTGAAGGTCATATAGAGCATGGCCACTCGCAGCTTGATGGCATCCAACACAGTCAGTATCCAAGACATGCGCTGTCTGTGATTGCAATTTAGATGCAAAGTCAGCGGCCTGTTATTACCTTTGAGAAAAAAAATTAAATAGCAAGAGAAATAAAACATTTTAATGTTTCTTTACTCCAACATTTCTCTCTAATAAAAAGCCAATATAGAGACAATAAAGAATAAATGAGTACTGATGGGATATGTAATGGTATGTGTAACACTGACTAGCTCTTTTAAAAATATATTTTGATCAGTAGGTCTAATTCCTTTTCCTCTTCTGCTTATATGCAGATGAGAAACTAAGAGGGACGTAAAAATGAAACTCGAAGCTGTTCCAGCACACAGTTAATTCTAGGCTTGCGACTGAGGTGTCTCGCTGAAGTGGCACTTATGGCCCTGTGTGGATTAGCAGGACTAATTAAGCAGGTGCCTGGGAGGGGTGGGGTGGTGACATTACTGCCCCCACCGGCACACCGTGGGCTGGTGGGGGCCAGCACCCTCAGTATCCACGCCGTGTTCAGGGCAGTGCCTGCGTGCTTATGCTATTGGGGTGTTCTTGCGGACGTGTGTGTGTGTGTGTGTGTGTGTGTGCGGAGGCGGCCGTTTATAAGGACTCTGTACCGGATCCCGGGTCTCATCAGAGAGGCAGCTCTCACGGAATAAACATGTGGCCCTTTAAAAGGTGGCTTTGTCTACATTTTATCATCCTGCTTTAACTGAAGAGGAGGCTTTAGCTACTGTAAATGTGCTTTTTAATTCAGCGACTACCCCTAGGATCCTCCTGGGATCCAGGGTCAACAAGTTTTTTTTATATAGTTTTTTTTACATAAATTAAGTGTTGTGATGGTAGAAAGGGCACCTCAGACATGTGATATCATCTTAAAGCCTGACTGTGCTCATTAACAGGACTTGCAAGGTGGTATGTAGTATATGAGAGAGAGGAGGAAAGACACAATGTCCTCTACCGAGGGTGTAGCTTTGGTAGAGGACATTGGTAGGGACCAAATCAGCCCCAAACCCCCTCCCCCATAAACACACATGATACTCTGACAGTATTGGTGGGGACACGTCCCTACCATCCATGCCGAAATCAACACCCTCGTCCTCTGCAGAGGACAAAAATGAGTGGCTGGATCTCAGGAGGATGTGGTGAAGGTAGTTGGCGTTCAGGTATTTACATTTTGTGTAATATTTTGTTACCTCCACAAATTTTTCCCTCTTATTGTATAAACCATTGCATGTGATCTTCTACTGAGATGTGAACATTCTCTTTAATCATAGATCTGTGACATAAATTGTAACTCCAGAGCAGTTGGGTAGGTCTCACACTTAAATGACACTTTTAACCCAGTGGTCAAACGTAAATACACACCCCGCATTTCACATTCCACATCTGAGGCTGTGAACTCACCTTTTTGTCTTCCCACTTCGCAGTTTTCCCACTAACGTATTTTTTAGTTCACATCGTGATTCTATAAACAAATGCGGCTCGCGCAGACAAGGCTTCCCTCAGCAGGCACGTGACACCTGGTCAGGTGATATGGGGAAATACAGCGAATGTGTAATTTATGCGTAGGAAATAAGATTCTGCAGCTTAATTAGTAATTTTCCAGGGATTTGCTGGAGAGACATTCAGCTCCTTCAAAAGTGTTGATTACCTGTAAGTAAAACTTTTCTTCGTGGAGGGAAGGTGGCGCGTCAGTTCGGAAAACCCGCATTACATCAGTGAAAAGGGAAAATGTGAGGGAGAAAGGCAAACCCATGGCTTGCAAACAGGGATTCAGTGTGCGGTAATCGCAGAGGCCAGTCAAATCCATTATGAAAAAGTACATCCTTACATTTGCATGTGCAGGGTAACCCCTGCGTGCTGCCGCTGATTTCGATTGGCTACCCGTCTTGTCTGCTGAGCCTTGGGGTTAAATCAGGGCTACCTGCATTGCAGAGTCACACAGCGCATGCACACACACACAGGGCCACACGCACAAGGGACAGTCCTCACTGTTGGGGATTGTTGCTCTGTAATTCCCCATCACTCCTAAAATATCTCTTAAAAAATATATGCTTTTTTTAGATACAGGCTTTGTACCCTTGACACAAAGCGCTATTTCACTCTTGTGTAATATTCATTACGGCCCGCGTCCTCGCACCCTTTTGCCCTGGTAATTAAGCAGAACGTGGGGGTGGATTTACAGCGACAAAGAGTGTGTAAAGCATGTTAATGAATGCTAATTGCTGGGAAGATGACATGCATATTATTACTGTACAGTGCCTAAGAAGTATGTAACAGACTTAGGTTGGTGGGGATTTTTAGCATTAAATATGTATTGGGAGAATGTTACACTTTGCATTTCACATATATGCTACATTTATAGCCAGATACATGCATTAGAGTTGGACCTTAACTGGATTATGTATAGTAATCATATTCATGTTGTAGATAACATACCCAAGAGAATAGAGGGGATTAGTGTTTAAGCCACTTTGGTTGTACTAATCCTCATTTTCTCTGTTATGTTATCTCAGCACAGGTACACCCGTATTTTATCAAAAACGCTTCAAAGTGGAGCCCGTTGTTCGGTAATCGTATGCAGATGAGCTTGCTTGGACAGTTCCTCCGGGTTTTGCCCAAGGCACTGTACTCTCATGCTCACTGTCTACCTGCCTTCTTCTTCATCCTTTGTCTCTCTCGTGCTCCATCTTGAGTCGGCTTTAAGATGTTCTCCCTGTATACGCATAAGTCTGCTCCGAGTTGCTGGTTTTCTCACACGCTCCGAATGCATGGTGCCCAGGATGCGTCAGGCCCTGCAGTTTATGATTCATATCATCAGCTGCCTTTGTTCCTCCTCCTTCCATGTTCTTCAGAATACTTTCCAAGGATTCTGCTGGCACCAGTCACTAGCAGCGTCTGGTGGCGTGATAGAAAATTCCTCCTAAATCTAGCTGGGTTTGCTATGCTGTGAACGTTAGGGGTGCCAGAAGAAATATTAAGAAGATGGATTCCAGCAGAAGTTCACATTTGGTTTGAGCCAGTGTGGGATATTTTACCCCATTGCCTCATTATTTGTATATGTAACTCTGATATGGCAAATCGAGTTACAGTAATAGCGGATTTTTTATAGGGTTATGCTGGGAGCTGGGGAGTGTGCAAACTGGGTATAATGCAGAGCCAACAGAAACACATTAGGTGTTTACCCAAGTGCGACACTCCTTGGTAATATGATTGCCCTCTTTAAGAGCACCGTCCCCCCCTCCCGGAAATGTAAATACAAGACATGGTTTTTATTTGTTAAATATATGCTTTGTGGTAATTAGTGCATTTAATAACTAGTTTTACCTTCCTTCATTTACAAGGTTATGGTGTATATAACTTGAATGAAATGGTAAGAATTAACTTCTGTGATTCTTTTTGTTCCGATCTTTTGAAATATATGCCTGTAAAAAAGCTTGCAATTTATTTTTACTTTTATTTCTTGTACACCGATAAGGTTTTATTTAAGCGATTTCAAATGTTGAGCCACAATAATCTGCTTTGGATGAAACAACCAAACACACACAATGCTTTCTTTAGCTTATTTCCATATTGCAGTGGCTGCCTTATTTGTTTTGCATGTGTCTGTTTTGACATCTGGGGTTGCTACAGGAGTCATGTGACACGTGGCACCCCGGGGAGTTGTTTGCTTTGATTGGTAACTCAGTAGGGGCAGTAGCTAGGTTATTTAACTCAACAGTGCCATCTGGGTGGAAGCTGGTGGCAATGAACCAAACCTCTAGTGTCATTTTATAGACCCCATGTTTTGCTCTGTCACACATAGTTGAATCTAAACACCTTCAGGTGGGGTAGCGTATTCTGTCATGTCCTCACGTCTATCAAACATATCTGAACTCATCTCAGGTTCATTCTTCCCCTGTTGATTTACCCATAATTTTTGTCGTGGGTGGTGTTTCAGGGGAGGACCTCTACATTAACATATATGGAGCCGCCGCAGACGTGAACGTACGGTTGGATAGGAACTCTGTCCTCATGAAGAGGACCTACATCTCCATGGCTAGCCAGCGCTGTGTCACCCTGGCTAACAGGAGCGACGTCATCGTCCACTACCAGTGGAAGTGCTTTGGGACTGAAGAGGAGGAGGAGCAGCTGAAGCTGAGGTGAGGATGCAGCAAACCTTTCCTGTTAGTGAATGTAGTAAGTATCACTAGCTCAGTATATGGAGAAAGGCACCTGAGCGCTAACCAAACATCTATGCTCCTCCCCCATGCCTTACACCAAGGCTTGGCTGTTAGGATCCTGTAGTATGTGATCCTGCAAAAACAGTAAATGAAGCCAGATCTGATCACCGCATTAAAATGATAATAACTGTCCAAATATGTATCGCCAGTTAATTCAGTTTGCTGTAGGTCAGTGTTTGCCAACTTGATCCTCGGGGATCTACAGATGGTCCACGTTTTTGCTCCCTCTCAGCTGCTGGTAGCAAAAACATGGACTGTCTGGCTGGGAACTAGGAGGGAGCAAAAATGCGGACGATTTAAGGGTCTCCAAAGACCAGATTGGAAAAACTGCCGTAGGTGACCAGGGCACTTTCTTGCAGCCAGTGTAATTCCCCCTGCATTTATTATCGCAGGGCAGCATGTGGCTCAGTTGGCTAATCTTGTGTGCCTGTAATCAGAAAGTCACCAGTTCAAACCCAGCCTTGGCACGTCTGCAGGTTCTTGAGCAAGATCCTTAACCCCCTGCTCACTGGGTGCCACAACAGGTGGTTGCCCTTCACAGCCAGCTTACTCTCCCAAGAGCTAGTTGGGGGAGGCATAAAAGAGTATTTTCCCAATGGGGATCAATAAAGTATCAATTATTATTATTATTTACCCAGCTTTCTGTTCATTGAATAGTAGTCTTGTTATATTCTTGCATTGTTTGGAGGGTGATGCACCTGGGATTCACTGGAATCTTAGGGTAACTGCACTTGACAGCTCGTCTCTTTGTAATGTGCTATTTGTTATGTGCTAAGTTGCTTTGGACAAAGGCTTCTGCTATATAAAAATAAAGGTAGAAATGTAAATGCTCAGGTTAAGGTAATCAAACCTAATATACTAGCATGAACACAGTATGTCAACCGCAGTAAATGCAGTCACTGATCTGTGAGGGCTGTTGCTTCTCTCTCTTTCTCTGGCACCATCCTTTGCCAGGCCCTGTTCGGACCTGCTGAGGCAAGAAGAGAAGAAGATGGAGCACTTTCTGACCGAGTGCACCGACGACCCCGCGTTCCACGATCATCTCTCGCGGCTCTCAAGCACCTTCTTTAAGCAGCAGAGGCAGCTGCGCGAGGAGCGCCTGGTCTTCTCCGGTGACCACATCATCATCAGCCCCACGGTGCGTAATAGTGCTCGTTTTCCCGAGGCTGGGGGCTCAGAGTTATGGGGGGAGCTCTGAGAACAGCTCTGTAGCAGAGAGTCCTGGAGCCCAACATGTATGATACGTACGATATTTAGTGTAGCAGAGATTCTGCTAGATGACTGTTGAAGGAGTCATTCAGATATTTACAAAGGTGCCAGATCTGCTTGTATCGGTTACACTCTTGTCACGGACTCTTACAGCGGAGTGTTACTGGGCAGCGTTAGAGTGTTTGATGCGATATTCCTCAGACTTTTTGTTCCCTTGTGTCACTGACTTATTTATACAGCAGCTGTCAAGCCAGTGACAATGACAGATTTATATTTATTCAGTTGGACCAGAATGTGTGTGCTGTGCCACTCCTTTTGATTATATACCAACAC